ACCTTAAATTCAAAATTCTCAACCCAAATTCCTTTCCTTTCTTTTAAAGTTCATATGTATATATATATATATATATATATATATATATATATATATATTTATCTTTGAGTTTTTCACACAATATATTAATAAAATTTAAACTGTATGATCGTGGTCAACGGTTTAAAATTGGGTGCTATGAGACTCAAAGTTGTCCTGAAGTCTAAATCCTGTTACAACCTCTTGTCTAAACTGTCAAAAGATAAATGCAATAGCTTATCTCCCTCCTCAAACATATATTTGTAAATTTTTTAATGAACTTTTGATTAACATTTGCTTAATTACACTCAATTGTCAGTAATCATACTTTATCTCTAAATTGGTCAACATACATTTTAATATATTTTCACACAAATATTAATTGTGTAGTATATCCATTTATATCTAGTTACAAATTAGTTTGAAAATTAATAACTTCATAACACTATGGCGAGACATATACTTAAATACTAATATTAATAATATATCTATAATATTATATTATATATATATACATTATATATATATACATATATATATATATATATATATATAATTTTCAATTAGAGAAAATAAATAGAAGATATATTTAAAAGAAAAAAATTAAAAAGTATCTCCACGTCATTTGTTATCACTTTTTCAAAACGTAATGTATTGACTTCAACAAAATTATGCAGACACATTTTTTTTTTTCTGTAATAACAGTTTTAAAAAGAATGAATAGTAAAAAACCTAAAATGATAATGTTTAGATCTAAATTTTAAATTAATAATAAATTTGAGTTGTGCTTAATTTTCTGAAATATATTATAAATATATCTATATATTATATATATATATATATATATATATATATATATATTATATATTATTTGAACATGTTAATGTTCAAAATGCTATTTATTTTTATGATTTTTAGAAAGAAAACTTAACGAGATGAGATAAGCCATGCTTACCCAAAACTATTCCTTATGTCACATTAGAAGGGGAAAAATCTTTCTCTCATTTTTTCCTTCTAAAAAGAAAAAAGAAGAAGTGAAAAATAGGTATTCTTTTCCATATACATGCATCCACTACCATGTTTACATGGATCACTAACCATGCTTACATGGATGCCCATACCATGCTTACATGGATTGCGGCTTGATCAATAGGGAAAAGTCAACTTAACATGCATAAAACATCTCCACCCCACACTACTTTTCATTCTCCCATACTCCCATGTCATGACATGCATAATCATGCAAAACATTTTCAAGTGGATAATGGTGTATTCAGTCTATACCCAGTGTTTTCACATCATATTTAATAGTTTAAATCCCAAAATAAAAAAAAAATTATCTCAACGAAAGGTGGCCCCTAAATAATAAAAATAATCCACTTGTAGTCCCTCCAAGAGTGAGGGAGATAAATACTGCATATATATAAAGTTATATAGAAAAAAGACTATCTTCTCACAACCATAAGTTTTAGGCTGCAATATTTAAACCAAAAAATAATGTTATTTACACAATATAATATATACTAACTTACCAATTGTATAACTAATTAGACACTTGTATATGATAAACCATGCAACAAACTAAAATTAGAACAAAGACACAAAAACTCGATAAAGGAAACCATCCCACAAGAAACCAAAAACATCTATCGAAAAAACGTTTGAGATCTTATCAATTACATTAAAACAATATAATATATGACACACAACCCCTTTATAAACTTAAGTTTAAGTACAAAAATAGGAAAAAAAGAGAACAGATAAGGTAGTTCTGAAAATGAACTAAGAAAGAGTATATCTGAAGTGAGAATTCAACACCCATAGGGTAAGAAAACTGAAGTGGACAAGGATACAGAGATTTACATCACGACACACAAACCACTCCTCGGACTTCAACCCTCGTACAGACCATAACTCTATACCACGAACTCATAACAAAGACCCAAATCCAAACGAAACCGACAATACACGTAGGGGGATATAAATGAGAAAAGTGAGAATTGAACCGGTAAGGAGAGAGAAATTCACATGTCCTAACTTCGAAGTAGTTCTGTGTCGGACGACTATGTCAACATGTGCATGGACCTGAACCGTGGAAATCCCTGGGAGAGAGATTAGGTGAACGGTGGAGCGTTTGTGGAACGGAGCAAATCAGGATCACATAGTAACGTCCCATCCCAAGGAACCAGCTTGTGCTCCAACACGGCGTAGGAAGTGATGTATCTCTTGCTTGCAGAGTGACACGCACCTCCCTCAGAGCTAGGGTTCTCCACTAGCCTCACCACACCGGGGAAAACCCAAACCCCAGACATCTTTGACTCAAACAACCACACTTAGCAACACCAAACGACCAACAACAGAAAAAAAATGTTTTTTTCTCTTAGTGTTTAAGATGGAGGGTGCAATGAAAGATGAGGAGAGAAGTATGGGGTATTGACATATATATAGTAGTGAGTTGAAGTAATGGGTAGATGGGATTTTGCTTTTTGTTTTTTTTTCTTTTTTTATAATAATATAATTGGCACATGCAATGAAAATTCCATGGTG